TACCAACACAAAAATATACTTCTTTCATGCAAAAATTAATTTAAAATGTCCTCCTTTTACATGACTAACCTGTTAAAAAAATATTTTTAAATATGGTAGAACAACACAACCTAACAGCAAACCTCTCGTGTCCTTTTAGGCAATCAACAGTCACTTGACTTTAATATTTAGGGAGACTTTACCTCTAAATTTCTTGGGCGGGTTGCTGAGGTCACCTGATTCTGGTTGAACCACACAGCGGTCGTCCACCAGCCTGAGAGAAACACACACACACACACAACATTACAATTTTGTAATATTTTACATCTTTTAAAGCCAACATATTCAAATTAAAAGGAAACCACAGTCCCAATCAAATGTTTAAGACCACTTGAAAATTGGCCAAAAATCATATTTTGCATGGTTGGACCTTAATAAGGTTCCAAGTAGACCTTCAACATGTAACAAGTGGAAATGGAAATGAGGCAAAACATTTTTCATGCAGCGACTTATTGAAAACAGCATTTAAACTGAAAAAGGCTGTTTTACAGCTGATCCAAAGTGTAAAGCCTGGGGCACACAGAAGACAGATACGCTGCGCCACGAAAGTGACGCAATTTTGGAAAGTCAAATGGTCACACAGGAGGACTCGCTGCAATGCGAATGCTTCTTGGCAAATCACACGATAGTCACAACATCACGCGGGACTTGAGAACAGGAAGCAGAAAGTGACTCTTTTGTTTTAAATGTAATCAGACTTGCCGTCGTGTTATGCGAGTCTCTAATTCATAAAAACTGGGTAAGTATGCTATTTACTTTACATTACACGTGGTGTAAAACTTTAGATCGGCTGTAAAACAGCCTGTTTCAGTTTAAGTGTTATCAATAAATTGCTGCCCAGAAAATGTTTTGTCTCCCTGCCATTTCTTCTTGTTGCGAGCTGAAGCTCAACTTGGAACCTTGTTAAGATCAAACCATGCAAAAAAACAATTTGGGCCAAAACTTTTGGGACTGTATACATTTCAAGCAAACCTAGATGAAAACACATTATATCGTAAAAAAAGAATTGCTCTATTTATAAAGGACAGAAAACAATATACAGTTTTTTAAATGTCTTTGAAATTCATTCTTTTAATTTTTCACAGTAAAAGTTGTGAATTCAAACAAAATAAAAGGTCAGATGTCTTGTTTACCTTAACACCTTACATAACTATGAAGTGAAGCTGTTTTCTTAGAGGTGTCAAATATCCTCAAAATCATTTAAATACAATTTCCTGTTTTTGTTGCTTGTTTTCCAACTTTATTAAAGGAAAACGATCCACAAAATGGTTTCCAGAGTCGGGCTTTTAAGTCATTAAGTCTTTATGATTCATATTTCCTTTTATTAAACCACACATTAGATTTGAGTCTGCAGCTGAAAGCCACAGAGATAATGTATAATCATGGAGAAAATGTCTCGATTACAATGTAGACCCACTCCAAATCACTGTCTCCTTTATTGTTCATTTCATCATTGATGGGACCATAATTAACAAAATGAGCAATCAGAATTATACGAGTATAAACCAAAGACTCACTCGAATAATTCTTTAAGTAATAAATCAACTTAGAAGTGTAGTTCTTTTTATCAAACATTTGTAAAATTTCCGAGCTTGTTAAATGTCTTCATTCCAACCAATCTGAAAACACAACAGCAGTGGTGTTGCAGCGTGGACACACAGATAAGAACAAATGAGATTTTGCTCATTTAAAATAATCCGACAAAAAATGCTAACAATTTTTATGATGAAGCTTCACCCAGCAGTGTGGTTCAATATCATCCAAACAAAGTGGAATGTGTACATAATAAATATAAAATATATCAGTAGTTTTTTTTTTACTTCAGGATTATATCTGAAAAGTACTCATGTTACACTGACTGAGTGGCTTTAATTTCAATATTATATTTATTCCAAAGGGTTCAAATGAAGGCAACTGGACTAACCCTAACTGGAATAAGGGAGGGTCAAGCTTGTAAACTGTAGCTGTCATTGTTACTTAACTAGCAGAAACTACTTATGAATACCCCTGCCTCCCGAAGAGTTGCTCAGGTCGTTATCCTCTATTATGTGGGAATCATATTGATTAGATGCAGAAGGGTGTGACTAAGACTGACACTGTTTGGAATTAAGCTCAGTGAAACCTGAGGCCTCCTCCTCCATTTAAGCTAGGTTTTTCCCGTTTGACATAGATAGCGTCATTTACTGCTCTCCTCATCTATCGTCTCTGTCCAGAATGTGTATTTTGTCATCTTCAAAAGTGTGTCCCTCATCCTTCAGGTGTAAGTGGACTGCAGAGTCTTGACCTGAGGAGGTGGCTCTTACTTATATTGTTTAGAATTTGACATTTTATTTCTAAAGCATTACATTTAAGGAATTTTAAGCCACAGAAGATACATATCCTTTGATGACAATGACATACTCGAGGGCTAAAATCTTAAAAGAACCAGGAGTCAAATGTCAAGAGAAGACACAGCATCTGGCTGCATCCACAGCCTCACAGTGCCAGCACTGGTCCAGGTGGATGCCACCGTTGGCCAGGGGGTCACATTCAGAATGCTGACAGCAGAGGCTAAATCTAATACAATGGTCCTATTTTTAGTTCCATCCTCTTTAAATAAGAGCACTCCTGCTGAGGTGTGTGTGTTGGGGGGGGGGGGGGGGGGGGGGGGGGGGGGGCTAATACAGGCAACACAAAACGGGAAATTTGACAAATGAGAACTGTCATGTTGACAGTCATCAAAGCTGTGCACACATCTGTTGCTATGGCTGGCGACGCAAGGCACTAAACCGTGAAAGATGGTAGCTTTCAAAAGCTGGCAAGCAGGAGGGCTGCGTGCAAATGATGGTGAGTGGAAAGGATGCTTGTTGCACAGCCAGAGGAGGAAGATCACAGCATTTAAAGAGAGGGAGGACGTAATAATAAGGGTGCTGAGCTCATGTTTACCACGAGATGAGATTAACTCTGTGGTGTAAAAAACGGACCGCAGCCAGGGAGAAAATCGTGCAAATATGGTACGACTGGCATGCTGCTCTATATCTTTGCCATTTCTGTGACCTTAAATTACTTGACCCAGCTTGTTTTATTTCTATTTAAGGAAATGCATTTTAAAGTCATAGCCTACAATTAGAGAGGAGGAGAGATGTCAGCGACTTAAAGGGATGGTGCTCTGATGCAGGCCAATTCAAGATGTCTAAAAGAGAGGAAAAGGTACAAAACAACTAGACAATGCAGCATCTCACCACCAAGATGATCAATAATAAATTAAATTATAGGAAATCTTAGACTTCATCAAAATTGCCAATAAAGGGACCATAACTACTTCAGGTGCATCTAGTGGGCCTTGAACAGTGTTCAAATCTCCTGGCGCTCCTTTAGTCTGAAACAGTCATTTTGTTTTGTAAATAAAACATGTTTTTAGAAAGAATTTAAAAAAATTAAATTAAATAATTTCAGTTTAATCTTTATTTTTATTTTTTTTTGTTTTTGTGAAGCGCCTTGTGATTTAGATTTTGCTCTTAAGAGGCACTGTATAAAAGATTCTTACTTTTCTTTTTTAGTGTAAAAGTCCAAATACACATTCCTACCCAAGTTTATGTTGAGTTACCACCATCAGCCAAATGGAGACATACATTTTTACCATGTCCTCAAAGCAACCATATTCTACAGATACAAAGGTCACTGAACCTTAAATGAGTTATAGTAGTGCTTCTGTTTAACAGTAATGAGTGTCATCTATCTGGGGGTTGGTTTCAACGCCAACTAACTCAAAAGGTACACAAAGGGGATTTTTCTACAGAGCTGGTTCCAGAGCCAGTTTAGTGCCAGAACCTGACTTAGCACCAGTTCTTTTATTTTTGACAACTGTAGCACCAGTTTTCTGGTTCTGAACTGCTCCTTAACTTAGCACCAACTCAAAGCTGGGCCAGAGTTGGTGCTTGCTATGAACCTCTTTCTACCCCGCCCACATGATGATGCAATCATTATCAAAGCTAGAGTAGCTGCTAAACCCACAACCGCCATTTTCAGATGGAAGCTAAAAGTAAGCAGCCTTAGTCTGAAGTGGAAACGTGAATCTTAAAAGAAAGCTAACAGAACCACTAGTGTTTACCATTCATTAACCACATTACTGACTGGATGGAACAGACTTCCCAGAATGCTGTACTCTTTCATAAATGCTGAAAAAATATAGTTATTTAATTATGGTTTTAGTTTTTGCACAGCTGAAGTGACAATGTGTATTTTCCCTGGCAACAGGGGGCAGTAGATACCTAAATCACTGCAACCAAGCAGTATTTTTGTGTCTGACTAAGACCTTAGCAAGGGTTGGCCATTAGGGTCAAAAATCACAACCTCCAGCAAAATAACAAGCACACCAGACTCCCTTTCATCACTGGCAATGAGTGAAGAGGTAAACGTGTAAAACAACAACGTTTATGAATGGCGACATTTTTGTAACCGCTTGTTACAAATTTAGTCCTTATGGGCTCCCGTAGAAGGAAACATGGCGTCTAATATGGCATGGCCCAGAAACTCAGATCCACTCCCATGTATTTTAGAGATACTTTAGATCCGCCAATATTTTACTACAACTGAGCATCATTTAATTCATTTAAAACATTATTTTGATGGATATTTTCAGAGATTAATGGTAGAAACTACACATTGACTGTTTAAAGTGCCATGAATTAAATCAAATATTTAATCAAAGTTTGGTATAGTTTTTAAGTTTGCAATGAGCAAGAAGAACTATGACAGGGAAGGGTAGAGGTACAGAGGGGTTTAAATAGTAGTCAGTTGAAAGCTCTTTAGCATTAGAAGTCAGGACCGTGCACCGCTGTTCACCAAAACCCAGTAGATCACCTTTTTGCATCCCTTCATCCCTGCTGTTTTGTAGTTACCTGCACGTGTTGGTCATTGTGTTAGCACATTTAGCTATTCATGTTTACTAGTAATGTCCGATATCATCAGTCTACAATGAATATTGGCCAGTATCGGCAACAAATGTCAGTATTGGAAAATACCTGCATCAGTATTGAGTCTTTTACTGAGCCAAATTTTACATACCACTCACATATTACACATCAAACTCTTCGGCTACTTCTCTGTCTTAAAATATAAAAGCATGACAGATCTGAGGTAAAGTTTTTGAGATATTTATAGTTTATTTGGCACAACTTGTGAAGTGGAAATTTGCCCTGTGCAGTGAACGTACGCTGTTCTCACAGCACGTAGCGATGAGTAGCTAGACAGCTAACATACAACCAAAACAAGAATCTTCTCCCAAGGCTTGCTTTTGTCATCTGAAGATCTTTACAAATGTTTTATCATCATGCAATATAAAGAAGAAAAAAACAAACACGACTAACTAATACACACATCTTAGCATCATGCTTAGCGAAATTGAGATTCAGCTGCTGTTGGAGACTAAGTAAACATGTCACTTTTCCTATAACTAACTTTATAGGAAAAGTAAGTTATTGTGCACAGAAAATTTTTAAAATGTAAGCATGCATGATAGGAGGCATGTGATAGCTTCCCCAATGTTTACCATTCCCTGTAATACTCCACCTTCCTTTTTCTAAATCCACACGTTATTTCCATATTTATTTATATTTACTTGTAAAAGGTGTATATATTAAGCTTTTTGAACTTCTGAATGTTTGAGTACTTTTTAATTTTGAAGTATTTCTGTCTGTGTTATGTTTACTTGAATATTTTCTCTTATTCTCTATTTTAACTCTTGTGAATGGAATTGCTGCTGTCATAGTTTTGTCTTTTTTTTTATTATTATCTTCTTGTGCCAGTATAGGAGCCTAAGTTAGCCTTTAGAGAGTGAAGGAATAGTCTCCCAGCCCCCTTTGCTCCCTGTGGGCAGAAAACCATGTTAGCAACTTGAAGCTTGGTTTATGCTTGACGCATTTACTTCACGCTTGGTGACGCGGCTCGCGGATGGAACGCGCTTCACAACTTGCAGCATTTATGGTTCATGCGGCTTGTCTCTGCGGTGAGCCAATATTCTCCCAAACTGTAGGAGGCAGCATGGAGCTCTACGGCATGCATCCAACTCTACACCATAGTAGAAGTAGAAATTACTGTTGTTTATAACAGTTGTTAATGAAAGTTGAGAGCCAACTCAGCTCTTTTAGAATTGGTGGAGTGTTCTTGTTTCCACCAGGATCACCACTTTTCCGTTTGTTCCCCTTCCTTGCCTTCACATATCGGTCCCTCATGTTTTTCCAGCATTTTTAACAGCGTCCTCGTCTTTTCCGACAGTGCCAGCTATTTCTCTCTGAGAATTATTAACAACATGTTGATCACGGTGATCTTTGAGAACTGAATCATACAGATGTCTGTATTTACGAACTCTGCCATAACTAGTTCTTGCCAGTCCGCCATGTTTTTCCGTGTTCGACCGTCCGCATGTTTAGAAAATTTCCTAGGGGCGCGGTGCGGAAAGTTTGGGCCCTGCGGAGGCCAGGTGGAGGGGCGTGGTTGTTAAAATGACACCATTTTGCCACGCGGAGCCGTGCGAACCTCGCGGACGTGTCAAGCATTAACCAACCTTGAGTCTCTCTGGACCGGAGACCTGAAGCCTGGCAAAGTCACCCTTAATTTTCGTCTGTTTGAATCATCCTCTGAAATGAATGTGATGCGCTTGCAATATGCGAGTAACCAGTAGGGACAGTTGACAAAACGTGCAAGACGCATTTGCAATTGTCACGCTGTCTCTGGTTTACAGGTCTTACATACCATCTACGATACCACCGTTGTTTTTTTGTGTTGTGATTTCAAAATGAACCAGCTGCTGATGTATTTTAATGTTGCCATGTTTGTGTTGTTTGTAACCTACAAAGCGGCACTCTATCCGGTCTAAGTTCTGTGCTGTGCCCCTAGCGGATTCCACCAGTACTACATGCAGTGCAGCAGCAAGTATGTGAACAAGTATAATCCCAGCATAAAACAGCAGGCTTACCCTAAAGTGCTGATAAATCCACTGGTGGAGCCCTCTGCATACAAGGAACATATGTCCCCGATATGAAGAAAACTAGACATCTTGTCCGACATCTTTCCTCGGGGTTAACTGCACCTAAAACAGACAACACAACCATTTCAAGGTTGAATATGGAACACGGATAATCTGGTGAACTCTGGTGTTCAGCGGTGGTATTGCAAAAACACGACAACATTTTCCAGCTGTTGGGACGTTGGTTCACTGCTGACGCGTTCCAGCACCATGTTCACAGAGAAATCGTACAGGACAAGGACTAATTTCTACTAAAAAGTTTATTTCATTACAGTGTTTACCATTAGAAGATCTTCTAGGCTCAGAATCAGCTGCTTGACTTTAGCCTAGTGAACTAGACCAAATTCTTGCTTTGCAAAGTTTGGTCTAGCAACGCTCCACTGGAACCTCTGCAGCCCCAACAGCATTCTGGCTGGCCAATCACAGCTCTCTAGAGGGGTTTCAAACATATAAAGAGCTGTGATTGGTCCATAATGGTGGGCCAATCATAGTGCTCTATCTGCTTAGTGAACAAATCACAGAGCTTTATCCGCTTTGTGGGCCAATCAGGACACTCTATATGCCTGGTGGGTGGGATGATGCAACAGAGTGAAACAAGAGTATGTCACATTCATTGTCCAGTGGAATGCGGAGATCATTTGAAAGACAACAGTAGAACCCGCCCCACAACCGAGAGCCGTCAATGGAGCATGGCCAGACTAAATAATACATTTATTTAGTCTGGCTTGCCAGGCTAGCTTGACTTGTCAAGTCTGCCATTTCACACAGTCCCAACATTGCCTTGCTGAGCGGACTTTTTAGTGCAACGGTGCCCTCTAGTGGCTGGTAGATGTAAACATTAACACAGCGTCATACCAGACAGAATAAACATCGTTTTTATCTTTATAAATATAGCTTTTAAAGGAGAAATTGCACATCCATTCCACACACTTCTGAACGCCCGTGGAGATATTTTCAAAAAAACTTTTTATTAATATGTTCCATATTCTAACGTTATTAGCGAGCCAGCTCAAAAGCTTCAGATGCTAGAGAAGCTCTGGTTTGCAGTTATCAATTTAGGCCACGTCAGATCTATCTGGAACTCCAAATGACAAACACTTTTAAACTCTAATTACTGATTAATGTTAGGCATCATTATGTCCCCAGGAGGTCACAGAGTTCCTGACAGCCTTGACAGCCTTCGCAGCCTGAAGCGCCAATGCAAAAAAATTGAGCGTTTGTGGAAGAAAACCCATCTCCACGTCCATCTGCTGCACCTAAAGGATCTTCTGATATCCTTTAACTCTGCAGTCAGAGACGCCAGGGTTTCCTATTTCTCCAACCTGGTGTCCCAGAGCAAAGGGAACCCCAAGGTGCTGTTTTACACCATCAGCAGCATCATTTCTCCTGCCTCTCCTACAGCCTCCACCCACTCTGTTGCAGACTGTGAGAACTTTCTGTCTTTCTTTGAGGACAAAGTCAATAAGGTTAGATCTAGCATCTCTCCTTCAGCCTTATCACTGCCTCTCCCGACTCCAACCAGGCCCATCATCCTAGATAGCTTTGCTCCTGTTTCTTTGCCTGAGTTAACCAAACTAGGTAACTCTATGAAGACCTCTGCATGCCCCCTCGACATCTTAAGCCTGATTTATGCTTCTCCGTCTGCGTCGGTGCGGAGACACGCAACGCCATTATCCGTCCTTGCGTAGGGCTCTGGCAGGCACGCAAGTACGTACGGAGTCAAGCCCACTTTTTAAAACATCCGTCGAACGAGACGGATTACGCAAGCTTGTGATTGGTCAGGACGCCACTGTTGTTTACAGCACCGCCAATGCAAAGAGAGCCGAGGATAACTAGCGGCAGACACGGAGAAGCTTGAAGAATACCTCGCGAAAAAACTCTAAAAATATGAACGTTTAACCCTCCCGTGACTAGAGGAGTGAAAAGAGCGCGCATGGAGAGGTGGGAGAATGAGAGACAAATATGTACGTGTTAAAAGTCTCTTATATACACAAAAAACACAATATAAACACACTATCTTGGACCGATACATGACAGGATACCACAGAACAACGCTACGCCCTCTGTTGTCCTGCCGGGCAATTGCTTTGCAACACTCTCCAGGAGACGGAGAAGTGACGGAGAAGTGTGAGAGCAAAACGCTTCCGTCAATCCGTGCGTCTGTCCCTTGTGGAGCTGACGGAGAAGCATAAACCAGGCTTTACCCTCATCTTTGTTTAAAAATGCTTTTCAGTCCATCGGTCCCAGCGTGCTCTCCATTATTAATGCTTCTCTGGTTTCTGGTCAGGTCCCTGCTTACTTTAAAAACGCTGTAATCCACCCGCTTCTTAAAAAACCGAGTCTCGACCCCTCTCTCCATAGCAGCTTCAGACCCATCTCTAAACTTCCGTTCTCTCCAAGATCTTGGAAAAGGTTGTGGCTAAACAACTCACAGCTGCTCTTGATGAACATAACATCTATGATAGTTTCCAGTCAGGTTTTCGTAGAGCTCGTTCTACTGAAACAGCTCCTCAAGCCGGGCGTACACTGTGTGACTCGTAGCACTCAGCTTCAGCTCAAACTGTACGACTTCCTCGCAGGGCAGATCTCACGAGTCATGTGCTCACAGTGCACGACCCAGTTCTCGGATGCGATCTGACTGCTCACACTGTACGTCTGGTAGCAACATCAGACCTAAAAATATGCTAAAAATAGCAGTTTTTACACAACACGTCAGACTATTTTGTCTTGCCTGTTGTCCTTCGGGAGTGCTGCAGGAGGACACACAGGCATTTATGGGGGTTGGATGAGGAAAACGAAATAAAGAAAGTAAATCTGTGTTTTGTGATCAGTTTAATTTGACATGAACACGACAAACACGCTTTCTTGTCAATCTTTGTGAGTAAAAAAAACGTGTAGAAACAAAAACAAACGTGTGTTATTAGGGAAATAGCGGGCGAGCGGTGTTGATGCATGATTGCGCATGCGCCGTGAGCAGTTCTGATACTTTTGGGGTCGCAGTGCCGCTTCAACAGTGCGATACTCTCACGAGGGACGAGCAAAATATTAAGCACGCCAGAAGTTTGTGCGAGCTCACGATTGCTGATCGGTAGCTGGTCACGTGGTGTTAATCGCCTCTCGTAACCCCCTGTACACTACACGACGCTCGGCGCAAAACTCGCCCCGATCTTGTAGATTCTCGCACGAGTGGAAAATCGGCTCAAAAAAGTGAAAAAGTCGCACAGTGTATGCCCGGCTTAAGGGTCTCTATTGACCTTCTGACTCACAGTGATGCAGGGGACTGTTCTGTTCTGGTCCTCCTGGATCTGACTGCAGCCTTTGACACTGTTGACCATCACCTGCTACTGGAGAGGTTGAGAGACTGGGTAGGCCTATCAGGATCTGCTCTGCAGTGGTTCTCCTCTTATCTCTCTGAGCGCTCCTTTTCTATGGCCGTCTCCAAGTTTAGGTCCTCCACCATCTCTCTTACCCATGGTGTCCCGCAAGGTTCTGTGCTGGGGCCTCTGCTCTTCCTCCTCTATCTGCTTCCTCTTCAGCACATCCTGAGCTCATTCAAAGGAATCTCCTACCATCTTTATGCAGATGACATCCAACTGTATATCTCCTTCAAGCCCCATGAGATGTCTAAGCTGCAGCTGTTACACACCTGCTTAGACTCTATCAAAACCTGGATGGCTGGGAGCTTTCTTCAGCTGAATGAAGATAAGACTGAGATCCTCATCTGTGCCCCAGACAAGCTGGTTCCCAAAGTCAGAGACTCTCTTGGTCAGCTTGCTTCTCACACCAAAGCTTCTGTCAGGAATCTTGGCGTGACCTTTGACCCAGCTCTCACCCTGGATTCTCATGTTAGTTCTCTTATTCGCTCTTCCTTCTTCCATCTCAGGAACATTGCCAAGCTGAGTCCCATTCTGTCCCGCTCTGAACTTGAGACAGTTATCCACACCTTCATCTCCTCACGCTTAGACTACTGTAACTCTCTTTTCACGTGTCTGAGCAGAACCTCCCTGAACCGTCTACAGGTGGTTCAGAATGCCTGTGCTCGGCTTCTGACCAAGTCCTCCAAACACACCCACATCACCCCGCTTCTCCTCCAGCTTCACTGGCTGCCAGTCAACTTCAGGGTTCATTTCAAGATCCTGGTTCTGGTCTATAGGGCCTTACATGGACAAGCACCATCTTACATTGGTGATCTTCTTAGTCCCTACACCCCCAGCAGGTCCCTGAGGTCCAGTGAACAAAGCCTACTGGTTGTGCAGCACCAGGCTAAAGGTCAAAGGTGACAGATCATTTGCTGCTGTGGCCCCAAGACATTGGAACTCTCTCCCCCTGAGCCTGAGATCAGTGGACTCAGTGGTCTCCTTCAAAAAGCAGTTGAAGACTCACTTGTTCAAGCTGGCTTTTGTATGACCTTCTCCACCACTCTCTTTATTCTGCTCTCCCCAACTATTCCACCTTCCTCAGGATCCACTAATTTCCCTATTTCCAATTATCTCTCTCTTTCTTAACACTTTTTAAATCACAATTGTCTATTTTTGCACATTTTAAATATATTTTTTAAACATTTTCTAAATTCTTTTTTATATTTTTACATTTTTGTTTTTGTGAAGCGCCTCGTGATTTGTTATCTTGAGAGGCGCTATAGAAATTATATTTTCTTCTTCCTGTGAGACACCTCTTTTAGACTCAGACTGGAACCGTCTTCCTTTGGGTCTGACATTTGTGGACACTGGCCTGGTTTAAAACAGTAATTCTAGTACTGAAAACCTCCACATGGGAGATTTGTTACAGAAAGTGCTTATTACTAATCAGAAATGATAGATGGAAAACAAAATTCAAATATTCTTTATTGCTGCTCGGTCACTGAGTGTTGCTGGACCCCATAAAAAGTCTCATTTTTGAGATTCTGACTGACCAATGTTGAAAATGAAATATCATCTCGAGTCGGTTTCTTGTGCATCACCAAGGACAATTCAACTTCAAGGGTAATAAAATGACAATTTAATTAACTAGACATCAGGAAGCCTGAGAAGAGTTTATGAAAAGCCTTCTGTCATTTAAACTGGTGTAGCTAGACAGATACTGGAAACATCAGTGGTTATCTTTGACCACAATTACTTTTACATGATTTATGAAGGCTACATAAATTCCTTTAATTGGAGAGATTTAGTATTTGGAAAACTCTCAGATGTTCAGTAGCAATCTAATGAAAGCAACTAGAAATAACCAGAAAGTATGTATCTTCTCTTTATTAATGTGGGATCTGTAGCCTACATATTTATTTTAAACTTAGATGAAGAATTCAACAAAAAAAAGTCACGTGTAACCGCTGAGGTAGGCCTACTACTAAACATAGAATTAAATTATTACCAGAGATGAGAATAAAACTTAGTTTGATGCTCCACTGAAATGTGAGGCATCGGTCACGTCACTTTTTAAACAAATTGTGGCTTAAAAGGGCTTAAACGTTATGCATAAGGAATAAAATGTCAAATTCTAAACAATATAAATAAATATGAATAAGCTGCATGTGGGTGGCGCCTGGGTTACATTTAGTCACACCAACTTTGTTTGTTGTTATCTGTGACGAAAACAAACACCCGTACAAACGTCCTGCCAACTCTCTGAACTGCTCACAGAGGTGTGAATGTAAAAGAAAACATCCTCGAGCGGAGCGGAGGAGCATTTTTAGTTTCGCCCAAATAGTCAGCGTTCAAGCAGCGCGCGAGCTGCGGCGAAAAGAAACAAGCGTGCGCGTGGGCTACTTCCTTGACAGGGATGCTGTCGGTGGTATTTAGAGATGTATAAAAAACAAAAACAAAAGAGGGCAACGAGCTGGCTGGAAAACTACTGCCAGACAAGGACTTTACCTTTCAGAGGAACGTATAGAAAGACGTGAAGATAATAAACCAGTCGTGGAAGCACACGCGAGAAGAAGTGGGTCAGCACGGGATCATTTCCACAGGCTATCCTCGGTTAAGTCCATGGCAGCGAAACTCCAGGTAAGAGCAGCGTTATCTCTGACAGCTGAACGCGTCCTCGGCAACAATCCTCTCCTTGCCTCCTCCACATGTCACCACAGGAACGCCCCTTATGTTGCCATTTATAACACCGCACAGCATTCTGGGTAATGAAGTCACTTCAAAAGGTCCTCTCAAGGTGGCATTTCTGTATGCCATACCCCAAGCTGATTGGAGTATTATAAAGTACATAAATTACAGCAGGAATATTCAAGACTGTGCTTTAAATGTATTTTAATGGCTTTGGAAGGTGAGATACTTTATCCCTCCAGTTCATCTGACCCTGAAAACATGAAATATGCCCCCCTTTTTATTAATTTTTATTTTTAATTATTTTGTTTAATTATTTTTAGTTTGCCAACAATTAAACTAAAGTTTATGGCCCATCAAAGCTTGAGTGAATGCTAATGAATTAATTTAAAAAGTAAGGTCACATGACTGTAATGTTGTTGATAGTTATGTGCCAGGACGGGCACATCAAGAAGATGAATATATGGTGTGTATGAACGTAAATAACATTTATTAAAGTGGAGGAGGTCTTCCCTTGGGGGGCCAGTGGGGTGGCCAGCCATTTTCCAGCTGGAAGGGGCGTGGCCACCCTTTGGGGGCACCACTGTTTGTTAGCTATATAAATTAAGATACTTAATAATTGGGCTGGGCGATAAATAGAAAATATATCGTTATCAAAATTGCTGACTTTAACCAATATAATTTTTTCCGGGTCAATACATTCAATAATAAAAAAATTAAAAGATGTGTGCAGGTTGGCGACGCTTATGAAGCTGTAACCTACCACCTCGAGTCCAGCGTAATGCATGTGACAGCCCCATCTAGTGGACAACGTTTGCTTTTGTCATGTTCTGGGGGAGGTGTCTAACCCAAGACATGCAGAATCAAACCCGAACACAGATGGATGGGAAAAATAATATTTTATTTTGAACAAAGATAACTAAAGGCGCACTGGGAAGTCCAGTGGACTGGGAACGGGAATGCAGCATCTGCAGGGGAGAGCAGATATAGGTGAGTCCTGGGAAGTAAGTCTAAACTGAATAGTGCAGAGTGAACACTTACTGGGGTTGAGTGGGATTGGGGAGTGAAGGGAGGTTGTGAGCTGGGGTAGATCCAAGAGGGGAGTGTTCAGAGCTGGAGAGGGAGCGTGGGGGTCGAGAGAGAGTGGGTCTCTCAGGACGAATGGATGATGAACGTTGCAGAGCGAGACGGCCCGGAGTCCTATGGAGTTGGGTGAGTAATCCTGATGTATCGAGAACCAAGCAGTAGCAATCATCCGGCGTCGAGCTGTGTTCACCATCCCTCTTAAGTAGTCGACCCGCTGATTAGCAGATCAGGTGCAGCTGCCGCTCCCTCTCCTGCAAACGCACTCATACATGTGTTGATAAAGAGAGAGTACTCACCCAGGCTCACTCATTGCACATACATGTAATTATCATCCATTTATCATTATCAAGGTGAACTCCTCAATATATTGTGATATTGATTTTAGGCCATATCACCCAGCTCCACTTAAAGGTGTAGTATGTAGGAATATAGTGAGAATTTTACAGAGGAGAAATCCCAAAAGAGTCTAATGTTTCATTTATTTTGGAAGGAAAGTTATACTGAAACATATTTCATATCCAACTGCGGGGATTGTCGGTTTTTCTCCTTTCAAAACAAAGGAAGGAAGTACGTAACTAGTGTTTTCCATCAGTGAGTGTGGGGGTGCCGTGTCTCCTGCGAGCTAATACTGCAGCGCCGACAATTGTAATTTGATGGCGGCTGTCAAAAATCTCCAGAGTTGGTTAAAGTGGTTGCAGTAACCAAATTTTACCACAAGGTGGCCTTTTTCATTCATTTCTACATAATGCACCTTTAACAATGAACAATATTCAAGGCCAAATTAAATGACAACAGTCAAATAAAATCCAGTTAACCAAGTGTTCCAGACTTAATAATAGACTATGTCTCATTTGATATAACATAAAACACAATAAACAAAATATAATTCAGTTCAATAAAATGTAACTTGGCATTTCACCCACTACTTTTAATACCAGGTTAAACTAATATCTTGAAAATAGTCTGTGTAATCTCACACAATGATCTGTAAACTATTAACACAACTACTTGCTGTGATTAACTGTAAATTCATCTCAACGTTTATCAAATGTAAGGAAATATACCCATTCTTTGGTTGCTATTGTTGATTCACTGCATTGACCATCGAAAAGTTAAGTTGTCGACGTTCAAAGATTGATTTCTCAGAGTTTCAATAAAACCAACAATGCTATTTTATGGTGATTTTTGTGTTCTGTAAGTTCAGCTATCTGTGGTGGCCAAAATGAACTGGGCTGATGGAAAACACGATCATTAATTACTGAAAGTTTTATTTTAATCCGAGGTATTCAATTCATGAGGCATTTTCCTAGCAAACACTCGGGAAATACATTATAAAGGAGCTCTAACTCCATTTTATAAATAGCTACTCATGCTTCTGAAAGCCCCATGCAGGACACCAATGTCTCATCACCTCCTGCCGACATGTCACATGTTGTGGACATTATTTCCTGTATGTAATGTCAACAACAGAAGCATACACCAGCCAGAGCTGGCTGTGCACATCAGAATGTAAAAGCACACGTTTAAGACATCAGTGGTGTGGAAAGCAGCACGCTGCCTCCTTTGTATTAATTGAAATGTTCAAAAAGGAAAAAAAAAACTCAAAAACCAAAACTTTGGGTGGTCTGCTTTATATCTGTTGTTGAGCCTGTGGAGACGTTTCCCACCTACTGCACATGTGTATTTTGCAGAACAGGAAAAACTTATGTTCAGACGTACAAGTGCTGCAGCATATGAAAAGAATTGAAAGCTGGACCATTCAAAAATGAGTCAGCTGCATAATAAAGTAGAGTGGCACGCGGAAGCAAAAAAGCCCTTTTATCCCTTACATGGACCGAGTGGCATTCATCAAACCCACCGATTAGCCCTTAATGCAGTTTCTTAGCTGCAAGATGGAGAGAGATGTAAATGGTGAGAGATAAGTGACCATTATCATAAAAAGAGGGGCTTCTGCTCTCTTTCAGCCTGCACCGTGGGGTCTTTGAGATGTTAATACCTGTAGATTGCTACGTAGTGAAATGCTCAGAGACAAATCAATCAGGCAAACAAAACAAGACATGTGTGATTCATGTTTAAGTGCTCGATATCTCCAGCGCTGGAATAAAACACAAGGCCAGCAAGATTCAGTGGAAAAACATTTAAGTTACACGTGGCCCCCTCCGTTAGCACACTCTCTCCTTGTTGGTAATTAAAATTAATTCATTAAACACTTTAAATCAAAAATATATTAAAATCCAATCTGCCGTAAAGATGTACGCCCCTTGTTAGTGATTTACTTCTTTGGGTCCAAGTGGGATGTTCGATGTCCGAAAGTCATAAAATCACACTGAAGCTTAACTTCTGATTTCCAGGCTCAGCTTAAAGTCGACATTAAAAAGAAGTTGAATTCAGATAGTGAGGACTCTGTTGTCATGGATACAGTGTTCAGGCATCAGGCTTCCACACGGGAAAAAAATAGATTAAAACATAAAACTGGACACAAATGCTTTTGTTTCGGTGCAGCGATGTGAATGTCAGAACTGGACCGATTCAAAGCTTCCCGTTCTTGTTTTTTAATCTCTGATCATTACAGCCGAGCTCACCTGCTGCTGTTTGCTCAGATAAAACAGGACTGCAGCAAGATGAGCGCTTCGGATGGAGATAGGCTGGGTGTGAAGACGAATTGATTTCTCGTGTAAACAACAAGCTTGGTGGGAGGCAGGGGGTGACGCATCGGGTGAGGTAGTCTTACTTTAACATGAGAACACAAGGCTGCTTCATCCACATCTGCATATCTGGAATGTTCCAGTGTCAGTGGGATGATAGAATTCAGCAACGGCCTGTGTAGGAGCAGATAGAGGGATGCAGACTGATGCCCTTGCCTCAGCAGCTCTGTGTGGGCAAAGCAGTTGATAGGCTTCTTGTTTGAGAGGTATGTGTGGGCCAAGTCTGCAAAGCTTGTCCCAAAATATCTGGTAAAGCACGATTTCATATCAAATAACGAGCTTCGAATTCCTGATCAAGTCTAGACTTGTTGCTCTTCAGCTCTGAGTGAAGTCACAGGTCTGGGACAGCTAACACTGAGCCGCTGGGAGCAAATAAAGCCAGAGATGGTGCGTTAGCATCCACAACAACTTATATCGTCACGCCACGTCAGGGCTTCCTCTAGAACACCGCACGTGGCTCTTATAAACCAGATTCTAGCACGTTTCTAAGGCCCTGTCCACACGTAGCCGGGGATCTGCCAAAACGTAGATATTTTTCTACGTTTTGGCCTGTCATCCACACGAAAACGGAGTTTTTTCACACGAAAACGGATCCTTTTAAAAACTCCGGCCAAAGTGAAGATCTGCGTTTTCTCCGTTTTGGGTGTCTGCGTGTGGACAGACAAAACCGGAGTTTTAAGGTCCGCAACGTCACTTTCCGCGACAAAAAATGCTGACATCACGTGTGCGACCTGTGTTTACACTAGCCGACCGCATGGATGCCCTCAGAGCTGCGCTCGCTTTATCAGTTGTTCAAGCGCTTTTTGCTTGTTTGTTTTTGCAAGCGGGTGTAGTGAATCTAAATTAGGCTCTGCCAATTATGTAGCGTTATGGTTTATGCACTTTTATGAAAGAGGAACCATTCTACATATTAATTTGTGATATTAATTTTATTAAATTAATAACCAAATTGTATAGTTTTAAGAAGACTCAAAGGTTGTTTTCATCGATAAACTGACGATAATATCCGTGTGTCTGTGTTTCAGTTCAATGAAGAAACCAGTTTGAAAGTTAAAAGTTTTAATTCTTCAAACTAAACTAATGATTTTTGAAATGACAAACATGGAAATGACAATCAACATTGGCAACTTTGTGGGACCATCTTTAACAGCTGATATGCTTGTTCAAATAGACCTTGTGGTGAATGTGTGAAGATTGAACATGAGGTGAGCTGAGTGCGTGTGTGTGCGTTAGATTTTGCTTCAGGAAGAAACAGGTG